TCTTTCCCCTCGTCAAGCCGTAAAACTTTTATCCAATCTTTTTGTTTAATACTCTCCCTCTCTCTCTCTGCTGGCGTCAAAATTCCTTTCATTCTTTCCCGGGCCGTGTCTAAGAGCCGGAGTGGCCAGAATTTTCGACAGAAGTTTAATTTACCTCCAAGAACAGCACGCAAAAACCCCATTCTTCTGTAATGCGGACCGGACTCGGAATAATAACCAAAATACATTACGAAGTGTAAGATATATCTGAAAGCCAAACCTTAATGCTTTGTCCACAACTAATGTAGTAATTTTATTATATTACTCATAAGTGTACTCGGCCTTTATGAACTCACTAAAATAATACCCGTCGACGTGGTCTGAAAACCCCAGACTTCACAATGTCACCTGCACTTAACTAAGTTTCTGGATCTGTCGATGCAATTTATGAACATCTTTAACTGACTATTCACCTTTCATGAACGCTCTGGGTCCTACGTTGCTATATAGGTTATTGCTTAAGTGATATGTGAGCAAATACTTGGCAGAGGTGAAGCGCAGTTCTAAAAGCTTTTGATACTCTTTTAGTAATGTTTAAAAAGGTTTTGCATCGCTTGGAACGTAGATTGTAATTCCAAAGGGCCCATTTGTTGCTTGGTTTATTCGGCCTAACAGGATATGCATGAAGGTACTTCAACACATACAGCACACCTACTTACGTTGAGATAAATAGCGTAGATGTCATTGATGAATATGGTGCTGATGGAAGCCACCTCGGCTGTAGTAGTTGCAGCCATGGCCGACAGGATAACAACGTTCATGAACGACTTTCCTGCCTGACCAAACACCGACTGTGCGACAAGATTCACCATGACACCTGACAGTTTAGAAAAAAATGTTTTTTTTCAATTTTGTCAAATATGCATTAAAGCGCATGGAAAAAGTAAGTGTTCGGCAGTTGCCTAGAAGTCTATATGTGTAATGACTTGATAAAGTGGATAGTGCGATTTTTGCTGACCGATTAAATAAAACGCTCATTTCCTCTATTTAGACTGGGTGTATTAAACGGAAGTGCGGTTTGTGCTGACACTGACTGGTTAAATACTTTAGACATTGAAGAAAGAAGTAATAGGGGCTGAGTGCAAACTAATCACGGAATGCACCGTATATTTTAAGGATTTTCCGAAGTTTTTCAGGTAGTCTTTAAATAGGAAAGGTTAATAATGAATGCTGGGAGCAAGTAAGCAGTAGATTTTGACAATACATCTATCTGAAAAACAAACCTCCTTAATTTAGGTCGATGTTTTTGTTTATAGACGTCTGTACAAACCTTTTTTAGGTTTCGTAAGGAGACCTTTTGTGCCTAACGTTTCCAGCCAAATTATCATGACTGTTGACTATCAAATAGCATACCCCCGCCCCTGTAATACAAGTGGGAGCGAGTTCGTGGACCGAACTGTATTTTTCCTGACGTTTCGGATCACCGATCACTTTCATCATCAGAGTATTTTAGTTGCTGCGTCTTGTAGTCTAGCGTTTTCCAGTCTTGCTGTCTGCCTCGTATTATAGCCGTGCTGGACGCGCAAACTTTGGCCTGCCCGTTCGCTGCTGACAGCATTTAAGCTACCGAAGGTTGACCGCTGGAGGGCTTGCGGACCTTTGTCCCCTCTGAGGTTAGCCTAGTTTTAGGCAAGTCAACATACCTGTTGACCTCCCTCCACGCCAACCAGCGGACTGCTGAGTCATTGCTATTCGCTTGACTTGTTCTCCACCACGCGGGTGCATCGATGAAGCAGTGCGTGATATTGGCCAAGTGATCTCCGACCGCTAGCTTTATTATCCGTGAGCGTAGGCGCTCGGTTCCGCATGATCCTTTGCCCTGCTGCCCTGATCCGATCCTTTTACAAAACGCATGGTAGTCCTGGCACAAGTCTATAGCTCGATTAATTTGTTTAGTTGAGGACCATCTTGTCATTGGCCCTGTCGATCACCCTCGCTTTCTCAAAGGCGAAGTCTTGGTTCAGCTGTTGTACAAGACCAAAGACTAAGGCTGCTTGTCTTTATGGTTGATTGCATGTTGGTGTTCGTGCACTCTTGTACTAAGGCGTTTGCCTGATTCGCCAACGTACCCCGCTTCGAAATATTTGCATGATATGCTGTAGACCACTGCCGATCGTTCGGTTACTGGCAGCAGAACTAGTACATGCTTCCTCGGTTGGCTTACACAGTTCCTGTTATATGTGGGACGCTACTGGTGTATGGGTGTAAAACATACCGAATAAATCTCCTCCAGGATATATGATACGCCTTTTTGGACACAGTACATAAACAGTCTAAACTGCCCACGAGTCTTAGTCAATATATAAGAGAAGATAAAAAAAGGTTTTGTTGCAAAACTATGTGGCAGATGGTCAGAAGAAGGTGGGAGAGTTCATAAAGGCTTAACATATATAAAATAATCATATAAACAAATGGTTCTTGCAAAGGAATATTAACTTTTTGCAGCGGGTTCTGTAATACAACTACCGAGCTCAAGAAGGGAGCATTATACAATTTTTGACTTCGAATAAACTTAGAGTTTCGTAGTTAGTCTGATTCCAAGGGTAAATGCAGACTCTAATGGCAGTATTCAGTCCAATTGCAATACTGTCTGGGGGTAATGAGGAAAATTTCCCAAATGAACGAGTATTTCCACCCCAGATAATATTTCTAATTGTTAGCTTTCCTAGTTAGTTAAATTGTGGTCTCTAAAATTTGAACTTCAAAACACATTCCATTTCCTCGGAGTACCGTGTGCGCGGGAGGGTGTATTCCAGATCCGATGTGTGAAACGCAGCAATGCATGCGTACCCCCCGGATGAGTTAATTTCCTGTTTTAGCCATCGCGTGTGTTTCCTTCTAACTTTAGATTCAATTTATGAAAATGTAGCCTAACTTAACCAAACGCTGAAATTACAACGCTTTGAACCTTTTCTAAGCCTGCTTTCTTGAATGAAAATTAAGACGATGCGGGAGTCCAGGTTCCTGGTAAACTGTAAAAAGGTGTTAAAGCTTTGAGCCAACCAGTTTATTTGCCTGAGCAATAAAACTGGTTAAGGCAAAATTTTCCATCCACTAGGGATTTCGTAATATCCCACTGTGTTTCGGTCGCACGCTTCCTTGGCTCTAAATTGCGTTGGACGGTCTTCTCATGAAGGTGTGATAATTCCAGCCTTCGGGGAGTAGATGGTTATGTGTGTTTATGCGGTGGTTGTCATGGGCTACGACGTCACATGACGCCTTCGCTACTCGGCAGCTGACCAGTGCCATTATTTGCGAATTCACGCAGCTGCCTTCATGGTAGTGAAGCCAAAAGCATCCTAATTTAATTGCTTAGCAGATGCCCTGTTGGAAGTTATTGTTTATTTTTCTACTTGATAACATTATAAAATATTAGTTACAGATGAAATAAAATTAGATCTAACCTTTCAATGGCTGTTCCACATGGCAGTGTACAGGCAAGTCCCTCAAAGCATGTAATAGTTTGTTCATCACCAGGACAAGGTTGGGATTAGCATGTGGGCAGGTGAATTTCTAGATTTAATTTAGCAAACCTAATTTGCTGCAACAGTTGACGGAACCGGCTAAGTGTCTTTTCACCTTCTTTTCTAACAAGAATTTTATGAACAGCCAACTCTTAAAAAAACAGCACGTCACTCAGCTTAAAAACACAGGAGTGTTATACACACCCGTAGCGTCTGTTTGATTCAGTTTGCCAAAGAGGGTTAACGAACGAATTTAATCGGTCAGCATGGGGACTTGCCAAATAATTTACACCCCCCTGTTGGCCGCATTGAAAAAAATCAAGCAACACATTTCACCTTAGCTAGCAGCATCCGAAAAGTTGCCAGTCGAAGGCCATATATCGGATCCATGTAACAACAATTTAAAACAAACCATGAAACGATTAGCAGTTAACCACCTACTATAGGGCCTATTGCGCCAACTTATCGAGCATGTTTACCCGTGGGTTACTTAAAACGGTGTTTTAAGCTTTGCTGGTAGCAGTCCATTACAAGTGACACCACGGAAACCAAAACGTTAGAATTGTGTAATACGGGACCGGCAGGAATAGGAGTTACACAGGTGGGAAATTACGGGGGTTCAGCAGAGAAAATAAAAGAAATGCACCAAATAAAAAGAGTAAATAGTAGATAAAGTTGTTATAAAATGCGAATATATAGTGGCAAAAAGCGCGCGATAACTGAAAAATCAATTAAAATCATAAATAGTGAATTTAATGAATCAATAAAATGATAAATTACCATCATCACCGGTCCTGCATTAGAGAATTCCGGTGTTTTTGTTTTCCATGGTGTCGCCTATACTAGACTGTTACCGCATTCCTATTTGCCTTGTAGTTGTACCACCCGACTCTCTGTTTTGACATGCGTTGGGTAGCTTAAGTCTTCTCATTTGGTATGAATTTTTGCGGTTTCGACACTTCCGTTTTTAAACAAGGCAAGTGCTACGAAGTGGGCAGAATTCATGGCCGGTGAACCCAATAACCGCATTTAAAGTCTACTTCAGGTGGGACGTCCCCTGTGCTTTCGAAAGGCCGCTGCAGTACGGCGAATAAACATAGCATTCTGTAAGCGGCTGCATTACAATATTACCCCTGGATTGCCGTGGTAAAGATCGACAATGGACGTAGTCCCATTCTTTCTACCGTTCTCTCACCCTTTAACTCCCCGCATGCCTGGGTGCTTTCTTGCGCGTTCCAACTTTAATCACCGTCGGCAGGTTTTTACTGTAATTCCAAAGTAGCAGATATGATCGCTGGAACAAAAAGTATATTTTCCTGACGTTTTCCAAATTCTGGGCAAAACTGGCTTGTAGGGACCCCTTAATAACTATTTCCCCCGCCCAATTGTTTAAGGCATTTAGTGTCAAGCATTAAATTCTTAGTTCGTTAGTGTAAATGAATATTTAAATGTGGTAGAAGTCATCAAAAAGATTAAATTAAAGAAACTTATATTGGTTTCAATGTACTAGATAGAATAGAATCCGTCAGCATAAACTCCCGTTTCTCAGGATACTGATGCCGATTGAGCCAAATTCAACCTTATCTAGGCGGATTTTATCGAAAAAAGAAACCTGACCTTCTCTTGGCTGAATTTAACGAAAAAGGAAACTAAGTGGGTTACTAAAAATGTAAAAGTAGGTTATTAATATAATAAGCCAAAGGCTAAAAGGGCCTCTAAAGACAGTCCTACCGGATTCTGTCTTCACCCGTTATCAGAGGTAACCGTAGCACGGTTCATTGTAATCTGCACTAGCTTAATTCGTAAAGTTCCTCCGGTTCCCTCACTATGCGCACTAGTGTATTCACATTTCGACCGTCGGTTTCAGCGAGATCCACTGTGTGCTTCATAGCAGGCTGGTGCAAGGACGGTAACTTTCGCTGCGTCTACCTCACCCTCTGTTACACTGTCCCACCTGGGCCCGGTGTCAAGACACAGTCAAGAACAGCGGAGATGGGAGAAGGCGCCTCAAACCTTGCTTAATTTACAGTAGGTGACATATCTGATGAAAGGGTTAGGAGCGGGGGATTTAACACAAACTTGAGGTCGTTTATGAAGTTCACTTGAGGCTTGAGGCGCAAAATGCTGTTTACTAGAATTGAATTCCGTTCAGGTCAGT